TTTTTTTTTTTTTTTTTTTTTTTTTTTTTCCACCTTTCGCCCCGGAAAAATATTGCCTCGCGCCCAGAGGACCGCGCGCAGAATGCGGACAAATTTATGCGAATTCTTGAATCCTCTTCCGCCACCCTCGATTATTCTTAAGCTTTTGTATTTTTTTTTTTTTTTTACGCTTAAGACCGATCGATGCTATTAGGGCCGTCGATTATTACGTTCCGTGGATAATCGTTTGGATTAAAATATTTATTGGAAATATTCGAGATTAATGCCGAGAATCTATTGATTTTTTCTTATTCTATTTTGTATACATAATGTTAATATTACTTGGATATATCTATTATAAAAATTGTTAATTCCTCAATTTAAGAAAAAAAAAAAAAATTGGTTACTTCTTAGAACATTCTCCTAAGTGCTGTTATAAATGAAAATTAAGTTCAAATGTTTCTTTGATCTTCTCTATCAAAATCTATTAATAATTTAATAATAAAATATTAATAATTAATATTACTAAGAAGAAGAATGCCAAAAAGAAATAACTTCATTTCAAACAAATCCATACAACTTCGAACTTGGCATTATAAAAATCCCTCGACCAATTTCCATCTACTGAAATTCCCAATACAATTTATATTATTCGATATATTATAACAAGACATATAAGACACCAACATCTCCCAATCAATTTCCAGCTACTGGAAGCACAGAATTACAAATGAAAATTAAGCTCGATCTACTTTCTCTCTCTCCCTTCTTTATTCGATGTATCTCAAACAACTTCATTCCCAACCAAAACCCGTACAAACTTCGAACGTGGCACCATCAAAAAATCGAGCGGTCAATTTTCACGCAACGCGATATTAAAGGAGGCAAGATCGACGCGTATCATCGACTCGTAAAAGTCGGATTTTCTCACGCGTTCGACAATAAAGTAGACTATTTTAAAGGTTTACACGGGCATGGTACGGCCGAAATTCTGATCGAGCGGACCGGTTGGCCTTTGCATTCTTGCGATTGAGAGCCTTCTGCAAGGGTGCACCGACACGCCTCGGGCGGTTCCCATTGCGTCGTCGCTTCAGACGCCGACACATTCGTTTCGCGGTGCAACATTGCAACGGGCTTATACGAGTCAACTGTAAACATGGGCCAACCGTTTCGATCCCCCCTTTGGACCCGTTTGCGTGATCCGGAGAAGGATGACACGAGTGGGATATCGAGTGAAGGTTTCCTCTTTCGCTTTGGAAGAGGAGGCAAACAAGGTAGAAAATGAGAATTATCGCGATCGTTCGATAAATATGGTCCAATTGGGTGAATTTAATGAAATTGAGGGTCCGAGAGAGGAACCGAAGATATCGAAGCGATGGATCGAAGGGATTTTTGTGAATGGGGAAAAGAGATGGGAGAGAAGGATTCCGTTCTGGAGAAAGAGAAGGATATTTTGTTGGGTCGAATGGTGAATGAAAATTTCAATCGTAATGCGGATGCATGCATATAGATTTGGTTAAATATTAGTTATTCCTGATAATAATATTTTTCCATATAAATTTTTTGAATATATCAAGATTTTATATCATTTTATTTTTGTCGTATCTCTTCTCCATCAATAAAGATTCTTATTTATAAGAGTGTTTTTCTGATCTTAAATATTTTGACAAATATTTACTTTTTAAAAATTGGAACAAAAAATGAAGATGTGTATGGAATTATAAATACAGTAATAACAGTAAGTAATGAACGAATTTTTATTATTATTCTTATAAAATATTCAATTATTACCCATTCACCTATTTCTTTGACTGACTATAATCTCACCTGTATTAATTATCTTTAATTCCATCCATGTGATCATCATCTTTCTACCAACCATTCGATAGAATGCGTTTCATGTAGCATAAACTTGCAACCGGGATCACACATCTTCTCTTTCAACTCTCAACATTCATCTAACAAGTTCTTCTCGACGTAACGTTCTTGTTCAATTTTATCCCCTGTAAAGTTGATTTATCGATTTAAACACGAAGCGATATCAGGATGATTTCTTTATATTGTTGTAATATTGTTGTATCCAATTAAATTCCATTATTGGGCTTGGAATTTTTATACGTTTATTCGAAATTTAATGTTTGTAATGTTGTTTGTAATATATGGTGAATGTATGGTGTGAAATATTGATAATTTCTTTTAAACAATTTATATACAATTATACAAAATAACAATTTAAAATTTTCTGTTAAAAATGTAAAAAATGTTTAAGAAGTGCTATCATATATTTTCCATAAAGTTCAAAGCATAAGAAATCAAAATTTTTATCAAATATCAAAATTAATTTAAAAATTTACTAAAAATCGAATTTAAAAGAAAATATCCTATACTTCCACAAAATTCAAAGCATCATTCATAATCAATCTAATATTTATCTAGACATACATTTAGACATACACAAATGCGGATTAAGGCACAAGCACAAGATGTATATAAACAATAACAAGATTACGGTAGTGTACAATGTCGAAGCATCTCGAACGTTTCTGCGATGAATCGCGAGTATATACGTAATGGTCGAGCACAGCACGTTGGGATCGCAGTGAATCACCTTGTGAAGGTGGGCCGCCGGTTCTCTCGGCTACTTCTGCCAGTGTATTCAGGTGCACACGCACTCCAATACATATATACACATTTACAAACACAAGCATACAACCACCAGCCGCATACCTTTCCCTCCTTCTTCTTGTCTCAAGCTAAACCACCTTCCCCACCCCTTTCGCTTAACCGCCTCCCGCAACCACCGCCTACCACTCACCTTTCTCTCCCTTTCTCCTATCCTGTTTTTCTCTTTCTCTCTCTCACCGTCCATGAGACTCCAGACCTTTAATCCAATCTGTGTAATAAGCGCTGCCCTTTAAAAACCGCGGAAACCCGCTGTGTGCGACGACCCTTTAGGCTAGGAATACACGAACGTGTTTTATACGCCGCGTGTTGTATGGTCGCGTATTTTCTTCCATCGAAGTAGAAATCGTGTATTTTAATGCAATCGACTATAGTGCTATGTAACACGTTTTGATGCTACGTCTATATTGCTTTTGAGAGTTGTTCGTGAACGTGAATGTGACCGTTTGATCGCTGCTTACAAATTTGTAAATTACGTTCGATGTTAGTGTAGATATTCTTGCGAACAGCCAATAGCGTTCAACGATTGGCCAGCGAATAATGCTGTGAAAATTATTCGTTAATAAATAACTTTATAGTATCTCATGAATATTTTACAATAATTTAATCAGTATAAATACAGCATTAAATTCGTTAAAACACTTACTTGACATTCAAATACGTTCTAAACTTGCGAACGAGATTCTTTGAAGGTGTGTATTCATCGATAAATAATTGACGAAATTACTCGAAAATGGTGTCCTTCGGTGTTCGAAACGTAGTTTACGAATTGTTAAGAATAATTCGCGAACAGCAATGTGAATCTAGTATGATATATTACCACGCTGTTCGTTGTTCGCAGACGAATTCGCTGTAACTTATTTGCTGAAGTGTCCACACTGGTTGGCGATCATGTTTCACGAACAATTTGCGAATAAGCAATATGGATGCGGTATGACACATGCGCTCTGGCACGCTCATGAAGCGCCACCTGTCGTATGTGAAAAACGAAACACGTTAGCAATATGATACAATGTTTGATTGTACAGATTTTCGATAATAAAGAAATTTTAGAAAGTTTTGAGAAGAAACATGTTGACAATGTGATGTAATCGGTTTGATTGTACAGAATTTTCGATAATGAAGAAATTTTATAAAGTTTTGAGAAGAAGGATTCTGTGAGATTATTTCGATACAATGATTATTATCGATTGATCGAAGTTTTAGAATCGAACGATTCGATAGAGAGAATCGAATGAGAGGATTTGGCAAAGTTTTTTAGTCGCATTCTTTTCGAATAAGAATGAAGATGGAAGATGGTGAGGCAAGGTTGGGATTTGGAGGTGTGCACGGTTGATGAGGAATTTTTGGGGAGTGGTTATAGGTGTGGTGAATAGGTTTCAGCAAGAAGTGTTGTTTAGATGAGCAGAATTTTTAGATGTGATTATTTGTCGTAATTGATAAAGGCATTTATATTGGAAGCTTGACAGGAATCGTAACAGGTAAAAAATTTTTCTTTGGAATGTGTAATGTTACAGGATTCTATATATAAATATCAATTAACTTTTTATTTTTTCTATAATTCTGAAAAATAATTCAATTTTTAGATTTTCTACACTTAATATCTACATAAATAGAAGAAATATAGAACATGTGTCAAGCTGATATAACGCAAAACAGTTGTTTTCATAGAATTCAGCCAAACGAAAGCCAAACGAACTTCTTCCACTTAAGATAAATGAAAATAAATGAAAAGATATACATGTTTGAAAATCTACAAACAAATCTAGAAACATCAACAAGAAACCAATCTCTTTCATACTCAGTATCTTTCATACTAAGATACTCAACTTCTACATAAACAGAAATATACATATACCGAGTAACAATTCTACAAATCCATAACCTCAAACCATAACCTATATATCCAACACGACAGAAATTAAATAAAACATTTTTATATTCAATGTCTACACAAAGCATAAAAATAAAAATTTGAAAATGTATTTACTTATAATTGTATTTACTTATAATTCTATAAATCCACAATCTTGAGCTCTAAAAACTCAACAACTTATATCCTGTATCCAAATATATAAATGATTTGACTAATGATTCTTTTAAAAATTTAATAATAAATACAATCTTCAACGAAAAAAGTTAAAAAATGAGAAAAAAACAAACCACACACATTTACGCAATAACAATTCTACAAATCTATCTAATCTCTTCCATACTAAATCAAAAAGTACATGTGTATGTTACTAGTTACATTTTGAAAGGCGTTCATGTGCGCAATTGCAATGAAGGAAGAAGTAAACGAGCAGCCAAAGACGACGACGACGACGAAGAAGAGGAAGAAGAAGAAGAAGAAGAAGAAGAAGGCATGAAAGAAAGGCCCGGGCCTGCTCGGGTGTTCGCAGGCCCGATCCTCGGTGTCTTGGGACCCACCACGCCATAGGATGCCTCCTTCTCCGTCGGTCGGCGGCTCAGCATCCTTTAATATCTCTCGGCGGCCTCCTCTCGTCCAGCGTTTCCTCTTTGTCGCTCGTGTTCCTGTTCAGAGCCTCCCCTCCCGCCGGACAGGCCCTCGCGGTCGGCCACTTTCGATAGCATCTTGATGGAATGCCTGCGGGGTAGGTACCTGCCGCATTGTCGGCTCAGCTCAGCTCGTGCTTTCGCACTCTCTTCGTGATCGCTCGTTGTTCCGTCCTCCTGTTGCCGCCAAAGATTCTTGGCCTGCTACTCGCTCTTGTTGTTGTTGTTGTTGTTGTTGTTGTTGTTGTTATTGTTGCTGTTATTATTGTTGTTGTCGTCGTCATCGTTGTCGTTGTTGTTGCTGTTATTGCTAAGAGGTTGCGTTCAGGTTGGCCGGTTGGGTTTGGTTGCCGCGTTTCGACGTCGGTTTCGCTCGGTGTCGCCTTCTTGTTGCATTCATTCCGCTAGTCGGGCCCCTTCTGGTCCCGGCCACCAATCGAATCGTGTCGTTGGCCTGGTATTTTCCTCCGTACCGACGACCTTGCATCCACGATGATGATGAAACAAGTCGGAATCGCGTTTTCGGATCAACGTGCGCGTCCAAGCATCACGCGCAGAGTTAAGCGGATTTGGGATAGGAAAGGTTGAGAAAGGTGGGAACGAGCTTGGCTTTCGACTTGGTGAGGAAGAATTATGCAAGCAGATTGTTAATTAATTAAAATTGTTTAACGGATATTATATATGTTTATGATAAGATAATTTTTCTTTTTTATTAGTCACTAGTTATTAATAATGAAGTTTTAAAATAATATGTATATTTTTTTATCTTACAGATTCTTTCATTTATAATAAAAACGAGAATCAAATTGAGAAAGTACTAAAATAAAATAAGATTATATTGGCCAATTATATAGAGGATTATATTATGGAGGAAGACAATAATTGAAAGGAAATGTAAAATATATATTTTGCTAAAAATATTTAAACGTTTTAAACTAAGAATAGAAATGGGAAATTTAAATAATAATTTATCAAATACAATTATTGAAAAAAGTATCTTCTTTTTACAAAGCTCTGATCATTAATTATTTACAATCAATGATTAATCTCTTCAACTCTTCATTATTGCATAATATTTTAATAAGCTTAAAGCTCGTTACTTCGCGAATCAAAATATTAATTGCACCATTCCCTTTTATAGATTGGAAGGCCTCGATGATGAATAATAGTTACGAATAATTATAATACGAAGAGCACGATAATCAATGATTCACTTTTATCTTCAAATCATTATGACTATTACCGATAAAGATCAATATTAATCATTAGCAATATTATTAATTGATCCAATTCAGATAACGTTCATTTCACAGATACGAAGGATCTCCACCTATATACAACGTGATTTATTTTATCGTTCATTTTTGAAATTTCGACAATTTTTTGGCAACAAGTGACGATCGACTACAACGATTAACTAACTACAAACCCAGCAACATTTGGTACTAACCAATATTACAAATAACCTCGTTAAACAAGTTTAAATTTGGTAAATAATCACCTGATGAACTCGATTGATTCACTGTTCATAAAATAATACAAATCTTCATTCGATCCGACCTAACCTATATAACAAAACTCTTAATCTTTTTTTAACACAGGAAAGAGTTGATCCACGATATTCCATTTTTCTCTATATCTCGAACAAACGAAAACTAACACTTCAACATTTTAAGGAGTGCAAGTACGCTATATATCGTACATACATACACAACACAGTGAAAATCTGTTCACTTACACAGACATTTGCACAGAAGAGCGTGGCAATCGGGCGGAACGTGTTTCCTCGCGGGGTCCGTGTGGGTGTACACGTGATCTGGGCCCTGTGCTCTGACCCCAACCTTTCGATTTCGTCTCTCTGTCGGCACGGCGTTCACTGTTGCACAGCCGGCCAAAGGGGATCGGCCTTAATGGGGGTAGCCGTGGAATTCCTTCGGCTCGTAACCCGCGATTTGCCGCTCGCGAGGTGGTTGCGTACGTGCGTACGATATAAGAGAGGAGAACGCGGATGAACCTCGACCTTTCGTTCCTCTCTTGTTAACCGCTATGCAACCTCTCTTCCTTTCGCTATCTCTCTCTTTCTTCCTTCTTTATGCTCCATGGAATATTGTCGTCGTTTAACCATCGTGATTTTCTTCAACATTTTTATCGCGTATCGATCATCTCTGATTAAAAGTAGCTTTGGCTCACGCCGTATGGAGATTGAGATAATCGAATTAATGGAATATATATAATACATATGTCAAAATAATATAACGTTATTTAAATTTTAACAATATTAATTCATACGTGTTAGAATAAATAAGAGGTAAAGAGAAGGATCAGGTTACCATTTTTAATAATTAATTCAATGATAAAATTGATCTTGTATTTTAGCATATTTGTATGTATACTTTTGTGAAATATACGATGTAGATTACGCGTTTTTAACGTGAATGGCTGGGAATTTGATCAAAAGTTTCAACACTGTAACAATTTTCTTGATAAATTAATCTGTATTATATGAATCGACCGTTATAAATAATCGAGCCCGGTCATTAACTTAACGAAAATTAACCATAAACCGAATAACCGTATTAAGTTACCGCGAATTAACCAAATTACCATTAACCATTTACTCGCTCCATCAACACGACCCAACCTCGGCCGATACATCACCAATCAAATTGCGCCCATTCCATGAGCACACTTCATCTTCGCGCCAATTTCAAAAAATTTCCCTCCTCGCCAAAAAACCTACAACCTACGCGAATCTTTTTGCCGTCAAAAAAAAAAAATTGCCAAGCAAGAGATTACACTTTTGTTTTATCCAAGCGGGACGAGTCTATCTCTTCCTCTCTTCTCCTCCTCCCTCCTTTATCTCGCCTATCCCTTTCGGCGTTCGAATTCCGCGTTTCGCTCGCCCCTGGCCGCCATTTCTTTTACACGCCATCAATAACCGGCAATTACCCCATCACGATTCTGCCCTTGGAACCTCGCTTAATAAATTGCCGACCTCGCTTCCCTCCTATGCCGGTTAATCGAAGGAAAGCTTCGATAATTTCGCGGGAGATTTAAATGAAATTCGAACCGTTAAGTGTTCGGGGTTGGATATAAACTGGAGCTGGAAGTAATTCGAAGGTATATGAATCGGGGAAAAGACGAGAGAAAAAAAAAAAGGAACAGATTCTGAGACGTGAGATGATTTGTAAAAATAAATATTAACGATGTTAATAATTTAAATCGATGATTACATTTTATTAAGAAGAACGATTTGGCGGGAAATTTGAAAAACGTAATTAACAATTTGAAAACGAATGATGATAGTTTTTAATAGTAAGTAATAATAATTTTTTTAATACAATTTTAGTGCAATTTATGGAAAGAGGATTAAATTTAATGTGTCAATTGTGAAGCTTTTCGCAAGCTGCGCGGGCGAAATTAACGTATCCATCTCGATTTCACAGCTTTCGTCGGGGAAAAATGAGAAAGCGGGATAAATTACGATGTCAATCTTTTTTCATTCCATCATTTTTCCTTTGTATTATTTAAAACCCGCGCAAAATTTTTTCTAAACTCCCAAAGGAGCTTTCCTGTTGTAGGTACCGTTATCGCCAAATAAGCTAATACCATCTACCCGGTTCTGGGTATCTTTCACAGGTACACCACTCATTCTTTCACGTCCCTAAGGACCTGGGATGTACTGCAAAGAGACGGAGGCACGGCTAGAATAGGTCCTTCACTTCGCTGAAGTTCTACGCACACAACAGTAAACGGTAGATGAGGCAGAACATGGGCTCTATATCGACTTTGATCTACCCAGTCAGGTAGAAATCTCACTCAGGTTAACCGACCTCACCTTGAGGTTCATCCACCTTGTATTTACGATTCGCCCATTTTAACGAAAAATGATAAAAAATAGGAAAAAAAAAAAAAAAAAATCAATATTTCCTTTTCAATCTACACACGCGTTCGCCATTATTTCACTCCGTTTGATATCCGATTTTTAAAAGTTTACTACTTAAAAAAAAATAATCAACTCCATTCTTTTCCTTATTGAAAGAATTTTTCAATTTTTTTCGAAAAATTCGAAGGACGATCATTTGTTCAATTTGTATTTTGGATTTCGTTTTATAATAGAGTTGAGACTTTTTTTTTTTTTTTTTTTTTTTTTTTTTTTTTTTTTTTTTTTTTTTTTTTTTTTTTTTTTCTTTCTTTTCTTTTCTTTTTTTTCTTTCTTTCTTTCTTTCTTTTTTTTTCTTTTAATAAAATTGTCAACACATTAAGTTCTTATACTTTCTTTATCGCAAACATCAAGTTAAAACATCGAGTCAAATAAATTCCTCTACGTCTTTTAACCGTTACTTAAACTTGTTTATTACCTATGGCGCTAACATTAATGAGGTACAAGTAAATAGGTTCTGTTTAATTTGACTTTAGCAGGAAGGAAAAGAAGAAAAAGAGGAGAAAGAAAGGAACGTTGGAAAGGGGCTGCTAGTTGGTTCCGTGACTGTTCATAGGCAGTAAATCCCTCCGGATGATTAGAGGTCGGCGCCATGGCTTGTTACGGCTCGATATGGAATTCAATGGAGGAGAAAAGTAACGATGAAAACGATTACCGATTTCTACCTTCGTTACTTCGTTCTCGATTATTTTTCGTAATAGCGTTTGCCACGATATCCCGACCCTCGTTCTCTCGTTAACACTCGCGAGATTTCTTTTTTCCCTAAATTTCAAATTATCAAAGTTGAGAAATAAATAAACGAACGAATAATGACAATAAGGAAAATTAAACGATTTCTCTTATTAATTAAACGATTGCTTTGCATTAACTCACGTTTTATGTTTTTGTATGAACGGAGTGGAATAATTTTCGTCTTTCGAGGATTTTTAAAAATTATATAAAATATCCTAGATAATATAATATTAAATTAACTATTCAATATTATAGTTGGTTGTAGTTTGTATATATCCGAATTGAATGAAGATATATTAGGCCAGATATATTATGGATGTTGGTGAAATATTGCAAATCATTTGAACGACAACATCTTGTTCTCTGCATTCATATCTTTATCGAGCCAGGCACAAAGGGACAAAAGTAAAGAAGAACCGAATCGATTAAAATTTTCCACATTTCACACGAAACTTTTTTATCACTTCCATTCTGCTTCCGTGCCAATCAAACTTTTTAAAATTGTTAAACATGGCAAAACATCACGTTACACGACCGATGAATCACGAGTATCCGCGTGATTTGCAGAAAACGAGGTGATGCGCACGAAGTTTCTCGAATAACGCAAGGCGAACAATTTTCAAAATACATATTTTGTGTACGTAACACGTAAAAAAACGTGTTTCCTGAAATTAAAATTTTCAACAAATTTTATTATTAGAATTTTATTTTATTCGGTAATTTTAATAATATATAAAATTTGTAATATTTCCGATTAAATCTAATTATTAAGCAACAAAAACAGATTTACATTTATTATACAAAGTTCTACGATTCGATTTATCATAGAGATCAATAAAAATTGATCCGTTTAATGTGCCTATACTTTCACTAGGGGATGCACGTGGAATTGGAAGGTTGGCAGGCGTGTATAATCGTTTGGAAATTCTTAGCGGGTAACTAGGGGAATTTTAAATTTCCCGCGCGGAGCGCGGTGAATACGAATGAATAAAATCACGTAGACGGGAGTATTAAACATGATTAATTATTACATCTGTTACCAGCAACGTAAGAAAAGCGACGAGTGGATAACACGATGGAACCGATAATATTATACGGAAAGATGATTAATGGATTTTGAAAAGAGAAAATTATAAATTAATTACCGAATTTTCATGGTTATAATGCTTGAATTTATATATCAAGTAAAATAAAAACGAATTAAAATTTAAAGTATTCTAGTGTATACATAAATCTAGTCTTTTTTAGAAAAATAACCAAAACAATTCTCTAATCTTCCAATTCTTTCGAATGAATCATCGAAAAAAGAATTAATATATACATATATATATATATATATATAT